TCATTGAATGATCTCGCTATATAAGGAATGTCGTGTCGTCATGATATGTATCCCACCTGCCTCTAGAACGCCTTGAAAGATTATGTACAAAAAGAAAAGCGACGCCTGAAACTTCAATGCTCTTCTATCTTCTCCTGGTGGACGATGTCGATGTCTTCTTGTCATCCCTCTTCGTACTTAAAGTCGTTGTCTTGGGCGCTGAAGTTATTGTCGGAGAGGAAGAAGGAGCTCCAGCAGCAACTATGGCCAGTGGTGTAGAAACCGTCTGCACCGTTGTAGAGGAGGCAGCATCTGTAGCAGGCGAGGACGACGATGATGAAGAAGCTGGTCGAGTGCTGGTGACTAGCGTGCTAGGTCCCTTTCCTCCGTTGGCCCAGTATTCCACAAGCGCCTGCTCAACCTTTTCAGGTTCTGTGTAAGCCTCTAGAGCCTCAAGCTCAGCGCACTTCTCATCGATATGCTTGTCGTCGTAGTCATTGATATTATTGGAGCGGTACTTCTCCTCCATCGGGTCAATGAACTTGGTTGTCTCGGGGTAGCCGAAGTTGGCAAGGCTGGTGACGTTGAAAGCAGCCATCATGTCGTGGTCTTCGTGGATGAGGTTGTGGCAGTGAAACATGTATACACCGTCGTATGGGGCGTAGCGGGCGATGACTGTAACCTTCTCGTTGGTGCCAAGTAAGACGACGTCCTTCAAGGCTTCCCGCTCGTAGGGAAGAACGCTTCGTTTGCCCCCGGTGCGGCTCAGGATCTGGAAATCGACGAGATGGATGTGAACGGGATGGCTCCAGCCGCCGGATGAATTCTCAAGCTCCCAGACTTCGACAGCGCCGCGTTGGGGCTTTGCGAGAATGCGGTTGTTGACGTCGGCAAAGGTGACGCCGTTGACTGTCCATTGTCCGTTTGTGCGTCCAAATTTGAAGCTCCTGTCGATGCCACTCTTCTTGGGTGGGAAAGGTACTGTGCGCAGAGAGCCTGGGAGAGCGCCGTTACCGGCGGTGCTGGAGACGGAGGAACCGACGACGAATCGCATGACCTTGTCAGTGCTGTTGTAGTCCTCGTCTGCTTGCACATCGCGGGCGTTCTTCATCGTTACGTTCTTTCCGGCATATGCGCTGAAGTCGACGACGATCTCCCAGCGTTCAGCCATTGAGATTTCGAGGTTGTCGGACTGCACAGGTTTCGACATGAGACCAGTGTCCGCGGCAATGACATGGAATGGAATCTTCTTGGCAGAAGGGTCCTCGAGAGTGAGCTTGAAGGCACGGCTAATGGCTGTGTTGAGCATCCTCAAACGATATTTGCGGGGCTCCACCTTCATGTAGGGCCATGGTTGGCCGTTGACGTGAATGACATCGCCCCAGAGGGAATCGGTCTCGTCTTTAGGATCGAAAAGTGTGCCGTCGCTGTTGTACTGCTTTGAAGCCAGTGCCAGAGGAACGTCGTATGAGCCTGAAGGAAGCCCCAGTCTATCCTCAGCGGGGTCATGGAGAATGTAGAAGCCTGCTTGTCCGAAGTAGGCGTTCTCGGCAGTGTGATGGATTGCATGATCGTGGTACCACAGGGTTCGCGCACTCTGCTTGTTGGGGTAGTCTGGAAGTATTAGCTTTCATGTGGTACAATGCCAGTGACAGTCGGTACTCACAATAGTCTTTGTATTGACCATTTGCTGTAGTGTCTTCGGCCCACCCGTCAAAAGGTGCTCGGCTGTATGAACCATGAAGATGCACCGAAAGAGCCTTGGGGCCGTGGTTCTTGAAACGGACAATGGCTTCACGACCTTTGGTCATGCGGAAAGTAGGCCCAGGTGATACTCCATCGTACCCAACAAGGTTAGCGGGCATGAGCCCGGGGTAGACTTGTTGTGTAAATGGCTTCACATCGACTTCGTAGTAGTCAATCTCATTCCCTGTGGTCTTATTTCGGTAGGTGTAGGACTTGACCTTATCCTGGGGAATAGGAAGCGGGTTCTGGAAGATCTGCTTGTAGACTGGGCTGAGCCAGTCGTCGTCGCCAGCAAAGGCTTGTGATGCCAAAATGGCTGCGACTCCGATGGAAAGATAGTTCTTCATGGCGTAGTGAAGGCGGATGAAGATCAGGAGATGAGCAGATATGAGTGAACTGGGCTGATGCTCTGTTGTACACGGGCGTCTTGGAGCACTTTATACATCTACATCTGATGGCATACATGAACTAAAAGGTCTCGAATACGCCTACTTCAAGGTATTCCGCCATACCGCAGACCCAACCATCCCTCAACGTGGCCAGTGTACTCCCACAAACATGGGATGGGAAGTCTAGGGCCGGCATGAGACGCCATTCGGCGTTCTCGCTACTGTTGCCTGGGTGTGTCGACATTCACCATATCTCAGTCTGCTTCAAGCCACTGCCTGGAAAGGCCGAAAATATGGGATCCATGCCTAGACATGGCTTGAGAGGCTTGGTATAAGCAAGAGCTAGGCGATGAGCGAGAGCTGATCAGACTTGGCGACCAGTAGGATGACTAGGCCATGTTGGAGGAAGACCATGAGTGACTACTCCAATTACAAGTGCGGAATGAACTCAATCAAAATCTCCGAATCGTGCATACGAGTACGTGATGCGGAACTCAAATTTGACTCATCTGGATCTTCTCGACCACGAGAACTCCAGGTCTTCCTTGCTCCTCTCCACAAACACGTGACTGATATCGGTAGGCCAAGTGGACAACGAACGAGTTGCAGGTTCTGTTTCGGGAAGTCCGAGAGTCTCAACTCGGAAAGGTGTAGTCAGAAAGGTCGTCGTCTACGGCTGGCGTTCTACATGCCTAGACGACGGCTGGGTACGAGCGGTCAACACGATTCAGGCCCTCCATGAAAACTTTCGTAACAGTCTCGCCCTGCTAGGGCTGAACATTGTTGCCAGCGTGTGAGCTGCGAAGCGCTAACGCTAGTTCATCGTGGCACGCGAGAGACCGGTCAACTTGGCCAGGCTTGTTTGGGGGCCCAGTCGGTCCAGGAATAGCAGTTCCGCGTCCGGGGGACTGCTTGCCAGTGTGTCGGTGCTGTTTGTGTGTGTGTTCATCGCAAGCGGAGAAGTTTGAAGGGCGGCTGCGGAAAGGGAGGTCTGGACTGTGACCAAGCTGCGATCGGCGCTAGACTAGCGCCCGTCGGCCTTGGCGTGGAGATCGCTCAGCCTGTCATTCGAAGCCCTCCCAGCCACCACGCCTCTCCACAGCTTAACCTCAGCTACCCCGTAATGCAGCATCAGCGCGGAATTCATGCATGCCGAATGCACGGCTCGTGTCTTCCCTTTTCGTCACACAGCTTCACCATTGGTCAAGTCGTACCATCGCGTGTACAAGCTTCAAATCCCTTCCCGTCACGATCCGCCAAAACAATTGCGTCGCCGAACTAGAGTTGACCCAAGAAACAAAACAAAAAGCATCTGAGAACGATGAGTGTTTGATTTTGTCGATAGCCTTGCGCGCAATGTCAAGCCTCAACACTCAATGCCATGTTTTTACTACCACCTCCACATAGGGTACGCAGCAATCATTGTCTGGAACAGCTGTCGCACCACGCTGAAATCAGCACATGGTGGAACGAGAAGACCCCCACTCTGGCCCGATCGCGGACTGGCAGTAGCAAGATCATGCAACCGCTATACCAGAGTGGAGTCTGTCCTTCACACCTACTTCGCAATTGATTCCGAGCTGAGCTCGACTATGGCACAGCGTCGGAAAATATCTAGCATGGGAAATTCCCCGCTAATCCAACATCCATCCGCTTACCCCTGCGAGACCACCCCGCGACGGCACTTGAACACGTGAGAAGGGTGATACTAAATCGGGGACCCTGTTCCCCAGCACACCCCTGTCAGCAGTATCGCCTCTGGTGTCTCTCTAGGCATTCGTACAAGCCAATGTCAGCTTTCCAATAGACTCGTATCATGCAAATGTTGACACTGCATGGGAAAGTTCCACGTCGTCTCTGCTACCATCGTGTTGCTTCGCTGTCTTCGTAATGGCGCCGCCATCTTCTCAAGTCCGATAAGCTGAGGCTGTCAGTGTGCAGTAGCGAAGGACTAGATGGGACTTCTGCGGCACTTTTCCATTCTGGTCTCACCGATGCTGTTCGAGAATGTCGCCTCGTTCAATGTTGGCTTGCAGATTGCCAAGTCCGCTCAGCAAGACACGAAAGCTTGGCCTCTGCTAGGCCCATGGAAATACGACGAGCCTCAGCTGTGGCTCCCGCTGCTACTGCAATGTCGTGTCCGGTGACCTGGTAAGCCGTCGTTTCTACCGCGTTGCTCTACCTCGGCCCTGTGGCAGGCAACAGTCGGAGTCCGTTTTCGTATACTTCGCCTACTTGCGGACGAACGATATCATGACAATGAGTTTACTGTTTGTTCACATGTCAGACCTTTGCTCTCGAGGACTTGAGAGGAACGCCGTCGCGAGACTAGAATATCTTTCCAGGCCTGCCCGCACATACGTTATTTGCAAACTTTTCAGCGCTCAGCCGTGTCTTCGCTCATCCAGAACCGAAAGCTTGTTTCTATCGCACGACTAACGTAAAGAATCACCCAGCGGAAGCCTCGGTTGGAGCATAAGAAGGTCATTGATGCGTACCAAGTACTCTAGCGACAGCTTGTCATGGTTTGTTGAGGTGAGATCTCATGATGTACTCATCATTGCCGTCCATGCCAACTACGTGCTATCATTCACTACGAATATCTATGATGCGTTCCAGATCTTTCGAGAAGAACCCAACTAGTATTTCTGACAACTCTATCGAGATCGGCGAGACTGTGTCTGGGCAGCTCTGCGATCGAACATGACCAATCGCCACCACATTCAGGACAGCGCGCACCCAAGACCTTTCCCGCGGTCATGAACACGAGGCCAGGATGTGCGGGAGGAAGCGAATTCTGCCATTGCTTTTGCGATGCCTCGCTAGTCTTGCCCGTTTCCATTCCGCCAAGGAGCCGACATAAGAGAAAACACTCTATGCGATGAGTCAAGATTCCAAAGCCGTTTGTTGTTCTCGCCGACCAGAGGACGTCCGCAGAATCAACTCCCTGGGGTCTTGCGTTGTCCAGAACCTTTTCATTGCCGAGCTGTCATCGAAGTCCTTGTACGTTACACGCACACTAGGAAGCTTCCGTTCCATAGTTTTGGTGAAGTTGACTCTGGCTTCCTCGATATACTCGCTCTCATAACGGTTTGGTTCAGTCTCCTCAGCTTCCTCGTCGTCCTCGTCATCAGAATCCTGGAAGAATCCCGTAGCGGACAGTAGTAGTTCCACATGTGTTAGATTCTCGAAAGCACGGAGCGTGGGGCGGTATTCGCCCGTTTCATCATCCACATCATCGTCAGTACCCGGATCTACTATCTGCGCTAGCATGTATAGATCCGAAGGATCGACGCCAATCTGTATGGAGTGTACGAGGCGAATTTTGTGCTTTGGTCCTTCACTATATATTATGTCCCAAAAGAAGGATTCGTAGTCTCGCAGGCAGATGAAAGACCAGGTAAGGAATGGACCCGCCAGACTGATAGCTTCGGTGTAGATTTGTCGGCATACGGTGAGGACGCTGAATGGAGAGTATCGGGAAACCTTGCACGCGGGTTTTGCAGTTCCCGTAAAGGTAAAGGTCCATATAAGATCGCGCAGTTCGCGGGGTAGACGCAGTAGAGGCGATTGAAGCGCATTGCGCTCAACGCTACTTGGTGTCAGTATGTGATATCTCGAGGCTGGGCTCCATGCGACTAACGCGGACTTTTGCCAATCAGTTTTTGGCGTGACATCAAAGACCCCATTCTCTGTCTTTGACAAGACTGAATGGGATTCCGATATCGGCGACATGTTGCAGGACCCTGGGCAGACTTCAGTGTTGGGTGTGGAAAGGGGGAATGATTAAAGCATCGGGTTTGTGCTCACAGCGGTGTGTAGGTAGCTCCGTTGATGCGGGGTGATGTCACCCCTCACGATCGACGCTCAGGGATCCACGGGCTCACAACACAACTAAACTTCACGTCCTACCTCCTGCGCGCATTGTATATTGAGCATCGGTGATATCTACAACACTAAATGAAGACAGCCGGATACCATATTGCAAGGCGTCATCATCTGGCATAACGTAACATCAAAGCTATCGCAATCATACCGTATACCTAAGTACCATCTCAATGACCTGCCCGAAGGACCAGTCCGCAGTCTGAGTCGAAGGCGCACTCTATTTATTCATCTGGCATAACGCACACATTGGAGGGTTGTGAAGCATACCTACACCCTCCACCAGCCTCTCAGCCAATCCAATTCGACTCAGATAACGAAGGCCTTCCCAGTCAACCCATAAAGACCTCCCCATCCCAAACCCCAAAATCAATCCTCCCAGTCCCCACCTTGCCCCTCTCCTCCTCAACCCAGCCTTCCACCAACATAACAGCATGCCCTCTAACCAACGTCTCCCCCTCCTCATCAACCAACAAAAGCAGCACCATCCACTCCCCCCTCCCATCCTTACCAATCAACGGATGAGAATCCGGCTGCGCCTCCACCCCCGCCCATTTATACAACGACGAGTACGGCTTAAGAGCCGGCGGAACAACAGCCTTGAAACGAGCAAGGAGAGAGTCGTGAAGAGTCTGTGGAACAGTATCTCTCTCCATTCCAACCACAGCTGGAGCATCGATATACACAGCAACAAGCACAGATTTCGGTGCTGCGCCCCCTCGCGAAGTGAGATGCTTTGGGAGACGTTGAAACGGCATCTCACCTCCCAATCCCCCTACTTCTTCATAAACAGCAAACTCCGCATCCACGATATCAAACACCATCTTCTCCTCCCCTTCTCCCTCCTCCTCCAGAAACCCCACACCCACCTCCCCCTCCTCCAACTTCCTGCTCTTTTCCAAGTTCAGTCTCCGACTGACACCCATGTATGCTTCTCCTTGCAGACACGCAATGTCATCCACCAGACACGTGTAGAGGTATTTCGGTTTCGATTTCGGCATCATCCCCTTGCCCTTTCCCTCTCTTTCTCCTGATTCTTGTTCCGGCTTGTCATGTGTATACCCGTCATCGCCATCCGGCGCAACGAACCGCAAGTCTTGAGTGACGTGACCGGAACCCGTGTCGGGTATGTTGAGCATATCTCTGAAATGCAGTTTCGTCCAGCGGAGGAATGTAGCGGCATTAGTCGGGGTGGGGTCGTGGAGGCGGGGGTGTACGAGGAGGAGGCCTGGTTTGGGGCGAGCTTGGGTGGTCGCTGGCGAGGATAGAGGGGATGTGGAGGCCATGGCTGTGTGTCTTGTGTGTTTGCAATTCGAGACTGTGGGGAAGAGGAGAAACGTTATCGCTTGGGTCTTGGAGTGTATGTAGAGTTCCCGTTCCTTTTTATGTTCTGTTCTGCTGTCGTGTATCCTCGGATGGACCACGGTAAGCGTGTGGAGTTCCGAAGCTGCAGATGCATGATTGTGCTGACTGCATACATATCATCACCTTTCTCCTAAATGATTAGTCCGAGTTCTTACTTGGCTTCCGAAATATGCATATCGGCAAGGAAATGAGGCTTGTTGGGCGCATAGCTGAAGATGTCAACGCACCACATGCACGCTCGATAGCCCATTGCACGAAGTTACATACTTCGAATATTTGATATGTTTCAAAGGAACCAAGCAGATGTGCACGTCTTTCTCGACAAAGGCCCTATTCTTACAACGCGGAATCTACATCGCGCTCCCTCCCTCACCATAGTCTCAAACCTCTGTTATCCCATTCCCATTCTCCCAGCTTGACAACACGCTCCAATCTCAGGTATACCGCCATAAAATAAAAGCAAGCAAGCACCGTAACTCCTGTTATCCTGATGCTGATGTCGCCATGGTAAACGCCAGGACCCCAGGCATTCAAGAAACAATATGAGCGTCCAACCATAACGCTAGCGAGTCCAACCATTTGTATCCAGGATCTGTCCTGTCCAAAACGTCGGATGCCTAATTCGTCGGTTGCCGAGGCAAGTGTAGGAAGATTGTACACTTTTCAATCTCGACATCCTCTTTCTTTGCAGTGCCGCTCTCGGGCTGACCCTTGCGCTCCTTCTCCGCGACGATCTCAACCTCGATACGATTGACGCCAGCGACGAGTTTCGCTTCGAACAAGGGTTCACCCTTCTTCTTACCACCCTCATAGCTGGGACTTGGGCTTGTGCCGTTGATGCCTGCTGTGACAGGAACACGATTTGCTTCGAGTGTCTTATTGCCATTCACGGTGACGAAGAGGCGGTACATCCGGCTTGTGAGCGCAATGGGGACCTTGGGTACAACTTGGATGTAAGAGTTGGATGGTGCGACGACCATTGTGGCACTATACATGGTCTTCTGTTTGTTTGCCATTATGCTAGTAGACCATGGCTTCGACGGATTGAGCGCTGGGTGGGTGTTGAGTGTGATTTTGGGTATTAATGCTTCGTCGACGCCTGCGTGTGTTAGTGGAAGATTCTTGAATCGGCAGTGCTGCACTTACTCTTGAGCGGCACCTTTCTGAAACTGTCCACGCGGGCAACTGGTGGAGGCGCGTAGTAAGTTGGCGTCTGGAATGAGGGAACGTGATTTCCATTCTGCAGCCCAATACCGTTCGGATGTGGACTGCCGCTGGCCTGGCGAGACACACTCTGTGGAGGGGCCATGCTCGGATGTGGAGTCTGCGCTGGAACGCTGAGTCGGGCAGCCTGGCTATCTGGTGCGGTGCTGGCCGGCCTGATGGCACTCAGGGCAGGGGATTGGACGTCTTGCTTGACACCGTTGACGGCGGGCGGGGATCCTGCGGTTTTGTTCTGGGCGGCAGAGAGTGGTGCAATCGACGAAGCACCACCTCTCGGTCCAGTGAACGGATTGGCAGGTGCTGTTGGCGTCGCGGCTTTTCCAGGTGGAGGCTGAGATAATCGGTTGCCCACGCTGTCAAGAACATGTCGTTGTTGTCGCTGAAGGGCGTCGTTGTCAACAATGACGCCGGGCGTCGCAGAATCGCGAGCACTTGGAGTGTTACGCTCTGATCCCGGACTCGGCTTCAGCTTGAGCTTGAGCTGCTGTTTTGGTGCCGCTGCGGCGCTGGACATGTTGAGCTTCAACTTCGGTTGCGTTGGCTCGCTGACTTTGGATCTGGCTTCTTCGAGTTTCTTGTTGAAGATTTCCTACGCCGGTCAGTACTCATGTATGAGGGCATGCAGACAGTATACGTACTTCCAGCTCGAGAGAGAGGTTGTAGATGTCGCTACCATCTTCGTTGTAGATACGAGCATTCTTCCAAATCAGACTGAAAGCTTCTTCGAAAGCGTCCCAGCTTTTGAACAACGTGTGGCCTGTCGGAGCCTCGCGTCCCACTACTCCGCGAACCTTCTTCTGTATGGCGGCCAGCGACATGGGGTCTTTGATCAGCTGGTAGTAGTCCTTCAAGCTGCGCGATGGGAGGTTCTGGAAGGGTAGGAATATCTGCAGTCCTTGGCTGAAGGGCGTTAGCTGGGTGGTATTTTGGTACGAAGCATGCCACTTACTCCTCATAATCAATAATCTCCCTCACAATCTGCTCCTGTGCCTGCTGGAATGTCTTTCCTGCATAATCAGCACTGTCGTCGTCCTCTTCCAGCGCAGCAGACGCTGACTGTCGCAACTTTGACGGTGCTGGTGTAGCCGATGCCGCTATGGCGGCCGCGCGTCGAGGGCGGTCGGCCGTGTCTTGCGTAGCGGGTGTATGTGCGTGGGCGGTCCTTGGGGTCGAGGTGACGCGGGGGGAAGGTTTCGACGGGGTGGAGTTGTCTTCGCCTGGGATCGGGGTGGCTGTTGCGACATAGTTGCCGTCACGGTAGGCGGGATTGTGCTTGACCATCCAGTTGGAGGCGGTCTTGCGTAGACGCTCGGCATCTTGGTATATGACGGAGTTCTTGTCGTTGAAGGCCTTTGCGTTGTTGACCAATCGTTTGCAGTCGCTCTCGACTTGAGCTAGGGACGCATATTCGCCGTTGTTGAGTTTGTTCTCGATGGTATCAATAGCGATAGGCAGCTTCGTGAATTCGTAGTAGTCGGGCACTTCGGCCTGCATGCAATTGTCAGTGGGTCATACCTATGTAGGGAGCGCAATGGGGACATACCTTGTCTGGAAGAGTGAGGAAGTGGACGGCGATGGGGCGTCCGCTGCAAGTTGTCAGTGGGGGTTCATTCGTTCGCACACTGGGGAGTATGGAAGCTGCGGGTGTGACAGGCGTGAGGAGGGCGTCACGTACGTCTTGTCTTTGGCCTGCTTCAAGCTGTCGAGGAACTTCAAGCCTGCCGTCGTGGTCGACTCGACCGTCTCTGATCGGGAATTGGGCGTCTCGGCCTGCACGGAAGCGGTCTCCTGTCAGCATTGTTCCCATTGTTATTTGAGCAGATTTCCCCCATGGCTGACTGCATCGCCGGCGCGCGCGTGGTGTTGAGGGATTGATGAGGGGCCGACGGGGTGATGGCCTGGTCGTCGAACCCCCCAGGTGTCGCGCTGGTGGACTAAGGAGCATCCCGCAACGCGCCCATCACGCCTCATCCATCTCCAGGACACGCCCAGCGATGCATCGCCCACCACCACAGCCTGCACGTACCGTCCCTTTTTGTCGCTTCGCAGGGCGCCCGTCGTGGTCGCCCGCTGCAGCACTCGCGGCTTTGCGCTTGGCCGCGCTCTCCATTTCCGGTTGATTCGTGATCGCGTAGTCGGACTGAGTGGTTTGCCGAGCGTCTCGAGGCTTGTAGGGATCGTGGCGGCGGTGCAGTGAAATGCGCGTTCCGTCGTCAACCCGGTGGACGCGCCGCAGTGTTCAATCTAGGCTTCCCAGTTTTGCCAAGCACCCGCGCACGGTCCGCTTGCATCACCAGATGCGTCCTCCACCACACTATGCTCACGGCAAATGGTAAACACTTGGACTTGCAGCATCACGCTTCAAACAATGTCATTCAGCCAATCAACTGTTTCTAGGTAGTGGGGCCTGGTCGCTATCTTCCAGGGGTATACTTGGGAAACGAGACCTCCGCTAATACTGCAGCAAACTCAACATGTTTGTAGGATCACGCCAGAAACAAGGAAAGTCGTCCAGAACTTCTCTCTCACTTCTGCGCCGGCTCCGACGCCTTCTTCTCGAACTCTGCTCGCGCCTCCGCTTCCTTCATCTCGCGCACCTTGGCCAGCACAACTTCCCGGAAGATGGCTCCCTTTGCGATTCTGCTTAGGCGTCCAGGTCCCTTGCCTGTGTCTGCGTTCTCCTTGGTTGCCAAACTCTTGTCCTCGGAATGCGATGCAATGGCTTCGCCGGCAGCCTCGCGCGCGTTGGCGGGCACGTCTGCCTCGCCTGGTACATCCTCTTCCTCGTCTTCTTGCATCTTGAGCGCTTCGATACGGTTGGCAAGCTTGACGAGCTCGATGCCGCGCTTGAGACGGGCCTTTGCCGCGTACGCCTTGATCTCTGGCACCAAGTTGTGGTCGGTAGCAGTGCTTCCGCTGAGCCAAACGTGCTTGAGGGCAGCCTAGTATTGTTAGTGCATTCCAACAGACCCTGACTGCTTCATCGTACTTCACTTGTTGGTCGCTTGTCTGGGTTGGGCTCCAGGAGCTTCTTGATGAACTCCTTGGCCTCCGGGCTCACTTCCTTCCAGTAGCGCTCGTGGAAGATGACGCGACCGTTCTTGCATTCCTCAATCAGGTCCGCAAGGTTCTCTGACCGGAATGGCGAGTATCCGCAAAGCAGTGTGTATGTGATGACGCCCATGGACCACATGTCGACGGGCTTTCCATGACCCTTCTTGAGCATGACCTCAGGAGCAGCGTATCCGAATGAGCCAGCCATGGTGGTCAGGACTTCGCTCTTCGAGTCAAGCATCTTGGCGATACCGAAATCCGCAAGTACGAGGGAGGAGTTCGCGTCGCGTGTGAGGTACAACAGGTTCTCTGGCTTGAGATCTGCTCAGTAATTAGCTTCTGTAGTCGCATTCGAGACGGAGAGTATACCTCTGTGAACGACATTGTTCTTGTGGAGGTAGTTAACTGCGTCGAGTACTTGTCGGATTGTCTCAGCGGCGTCCTTTTCTGTGAACTTGCCCTTTTCGCAAATGCGATCGAACAGCTCTCCACCTGTCGCCAATTGGGTCACAATGTAGTACTTGTCCTGGTAGGTGTCAGCTCCACAGTCCCGCAGAAGGGACCCGTATCGCGCATACCCTTGACTCGAACCAATCGTGGAACTTGACAATGTGAGGATGCTTCATGCGCTGCAGCATCTCCA